TCTTGCATAGAGTATCATAAGTTTTTTTTAACGTCTTGAACTAGTTGTCTCGTTTGTTTGTTTACTTGTATTTGGAATAATCAATATTATTATCATTAATATTGTTGGTGCTGTTGTTTTTGTTGTTGTTATTTTTATTTTTGTTGTTTGTCGTTGCTGCTGCTGGTGTTATTTTCATCATTATTACAACCAGTATCATAGATCTATTCTTTATCTTCATCAGTATCATTAATCGGGTTTCTATCTTTTTATCATTAATGCTTTTTAGTTGATCATCTTTATCCGTAATCGTTATATCATATAACACTATATTCCAGCCCCCGTTTTGTTCTTTCTCTCTCTCTCTCATCTTTTGTTTTCATTTTTCATTCTTTTTCACTTCCCACAATGTTTGAAATATGGAAGGATAAAGAGGAAAAGAAATAGTAGAAAAAAGAGGATAAATATATAAAAACATTCATCTGGACACACATAGAAAGAGCGGGGAAAAAGGAGAGAGAGAGAGGAGAAGGGGAAGAGAGAGAGAGAGAGAGAGAGAGAGAGAGAGAGAGAGAGAGAGAGAGAGAGAGAGAGAGAAGAGAGAGAGAGAGAGAGAGAGAGAGAGAGAGAAGAGAGAAGAGAGAAGGCAAGAGAAGAGAGAGAGGAAAAAAGAGAGAAAGAGAGAGAGAAAAAAAAACAAGAGAGAGAGAAAAAAAGAGAGAATGCAAGAGAAAGCAGAGAGAGAGAGGAACGAGAGAGAAAACAAGAGAAAGAGAAAGAAAAAAAGAGAGAATAAAAGAGAGAGAGAAAAAAGAAAAGAGAGAGAAGAGAGAGGACGCGGCGAGAGACCAGGCGACCCCCCCACCCCCCCCCCGCCGCACGCACACGCCCGATCCAGCCTCCAGCGAAGGCTATTAGCGCCCGAAGGAATTCCAAATCTCCACGACGCGCCTCGAGAATCCTCCGGCGCGTCTCCGAGGTACACCTGCCGGATCGAGGATTGAGGAAGGATATGCAGGTGGTTGCGAAGGATGGGGAGGATGCTAGGTGGGTAGGAGGATGTGCTGGAGGGAAGGGAAGGACTGCTATATTATATATATGATGAATTTCGGGGAAAGAGATGGCTTCAGATGTTTTACGTAGGATGGGAGGATGGTGTGGGTCAGGATATGGGGAAGTATCCTCAGCTGGCTACGTAGAATGAGAGGAGGATGTGCCGTAGGGAAAGGGTTCCTCACACGGCTGTAGAAACCGATAGGATGGGGTGTTTCAGGTTAAAGCAGATCCTCCGCTGGTTAGGTAGGATGTCAGGATGCGGGACTCCCAAGCTCCTCAGAAGATCAAGAAATTACGAAATGGAAGAAATAACATTGATGATTTTTCCTTTCTCCCTGAAGGATTTACCTAAAATACATTGATAAATGCATAAATAAACAGATAAACAGAGAACGTGAACAGGAAGAAGAGGATATCCAAGAGGCGCTGTATCCTACCGGGGATTTAGAAGCAGTAGAAGGATTCCTCAAGGGTATAATTATAAATTAGAAGGATATAATCTCTCTCTCTCTGTCCACAATTGCTGTGGGAACCCAGGCGCTTATCCAATCAGCATGTTCGAGCGCGCATGTAGATAAGAAAGATAAGAATATGTTTTTAAAAGGAGGACGTATCGACGGTGAGTAGGTCTCCCTAAGACATCTTGGCGGGTGTGTGTGTTGAGTCTTGGGTCACGTTGCGTCTCCTTACAAGGAAGGCGACGGCAGGGAAGGAATGTCCTGAGATAAGGAGGCCCAGCATGATAAGCAAACTCGTGGCCGCGAGACAACAAGAAGGGGAGGTTACGTGTATCAACGACTTGATTTTCGGTCCGTTTCGTCAGCAAAAATGGCGGCTTTTTTCTGGTTTTCTTTTTTCTTTTAGGATTTTTGTCTCCTTTATTTCTGTTTTCTTTTTCTCTCTTTCCTCTTTTCTCAAATCTGATTTATGATTTGATTATATAGAGACCTTTATTTAAGCTAATATCCCTTGACTTCCAGCGAGATAAATCATTTGTAAATCTCGGACCTATCTCTCACAATCAGTACTGAATCTCTTGCGCGTAACACAGTAAGAATACTGAAGGGCTGCGACCTCGAGCAGTAAGAGATCCGACACATAATGCTGACATATGACTCGATGCACAGCACGAGGAGAATCATTTAATCCTTATGCCTGGCACTGCTTCTGTGATTTATTTGATTTACGATTAAATATGACTGTAATTTCTACCGATTCACATGCTCGTACAGAAAATTTTACTACATACGAGCCAGTGATGGAAGTATATAAAAGTTGCATAATATTTTTTTTTAATCACATTGTAAATTATTCACGAAAATGACACATGGGAGAGTCATAACAAAGTATCAAGGATAATAATTTCTTCAGAACGTCGCGATTAAAGGCTAAATAATGTTTTAAAAAATATATATAATTTTGGCGCCACCATCACCGCCATAGACCTTGCATCACCAACGCCATGTCTGTAGGCCTAACAAACCCTGCCTCCCCCTCCCCTCTCCCCACCACCACCACCCCTTCCCCCCCCTAAAAGCCTTGGCACTGAGCAATACATCACAGAATAGTCATGCCCCGCCCACGCCCCTACCCCCTCTTTCATGGTAAATTTATTAACAAAGGCGATTGAACCAAAGGGATAAGGGGGGGGGGGAGGGGCCAAGGGGGTAATAGGAAGGGACAGAGGGGGGGAGGGATCATGAATAGAGCAGACGGGGTCATGAACGCAGGGGCGGGGTCATGAATAGAAGAAGCGGGGTCTCATGAACACAGAAGGCGGGGTATAAACACTGGAGACGAGGTCATGAACACAGGATGGGGGGGGGGTGATGGGGGAGTTTAATGGTGGGGGGGGGTTATAAACAAGGTCTCGTAGGAAGATAGAAAGAAAAGAAAAAGAAGAGAGGAAGAAAAAGAAAGGAAGAAAAGAAGAAAGGAAGAAAAAGAAGAAGAAAGTAAGGAGAAAAAAAGAAGAAGAAATGTGGAAGAGGAAGAAGAAAAAGAAGAAGAAAGGAAGAGGAAGAAGAATTAAAGTCATGACAATGAAAATGAAAAAAATAATAATTTCCTTGTAACATTCACTTACCAAAACGTGTTAACGAAGCACAGAGCGTGTGCTAAATCATGTCATTCTTATCACACACATTATGCAGGAGATAACACTGGCATCAGTGTCATCTTGAACGCATCTTCAGGTACCACATACTGTTCAAAACAATTATTTACATGGGACAAAATGTTCACTGTACATTTGTCTGTTGTTGTTGTAGTAGTAGTAATAATAATAGTAGTAGTAGCGGTAGTAGTAGTGGTGTAGTAATAGCAGTAGTTATAGTATCAGTAGGTAGCAGTTTGTATAGGTAGTAGTAAGTAGCAATAGTAGTAAGTAGTTTATAGTAGTAGTGGTAATCGCAGCAGTAATAGCAGCAGTAGTAGTAGTAGTAGTACTAGTAGTTGTTATTATTATAATTGTTGTTGTTATAGTTGTTATTTTGCGAGGGGGGTGACTAACAGTTATAGTCCTTCACCTTTACCTCATTCAAATGTCATTATAACAAACTGTCACTTCTTTGACCATTTCGAGTCCAGCAGCTGGCCCTATGACAGCTAAGTGTGTGATCCCAGACATGCTTGTGTAAAATGTAGACTTCTGTGAATCCGAAAAGGTTGTGAAAAGGACCATGTATTCTGAGTCTATATCCCCAGACCATGTCTCTGTTCTGGCTAAATGGATTCTAAAATACGTATTAAAGATTAGGTTAAATTGCAGAGAGATGTTCCCAAGGGATGTTTTGTAGGGCTGTGAGAGTCACTGGCGATGAAGATGCCATTTCATAGATATAATTTGATATGTGTGCGTTTGTGAATAAGTGCGTGTCTGTTCTGTTCTGTGTGCATATATGATATAGATATATGTCTATATCTAAACCTATCTCTCTCTCTCTCTCTCTCTCTCTCTCTTTCTCTTTCTCCTCCTCTCTTCTTTCCGCTCTCTTTTTTTCCTCTCTCTTTCCGCTCTCTTTTTTCCTCTCTCTATCACTTTACTTTCTCTCTCTCTCTCTCTCTTTTCTCTATGAATCTATCTCTTCTCTCTCTCTCTCTCTCTCTCTCTCTCTCTCTCTCTCTCTCTCTCTCTCTCTCTCTCTCTCTATATATATATATATATATTATATATATATATATATATATATATATATATATATATACATATGTATGTATAGATAGATACATAGATAGATAGATAGTTAAATAGATAGATAGATACATGAATAGATAAATAAATAAAATATATATATATATATATATATATATATATATATATATATATATTATATTATATATATATATATAAATACATACGCATATACATATATTCATATACGTACATTCAAACTTACGCACATAAAACTTTCAACCTTTAAAAATAAATCGCCATAAACTATTCTCCGGGCGCGGGTCCAAGGCAGGTAAGACGACCTTGGCAAGTGTATTCTTCCCGTCTCGACCGCAGATAACTAACGGCGGAAGATGGCAGGCGCTGATGTAGTGCATCTTCCCGCTCTCCTCCTTGGCAGACGCTTGTGAAACGGCGCTCGTGCGTGAATGGGAGTGTTGTGGGGAAGCGCTTTTATGGGATGTAGATAAAGAGGTTTGGGTTCGCCGTATTATGGGAGAATATTGAGTTCTATGGCAACGAAATGGCGCTCGTGGCGAATTGGGTGTTGTGGGGAAGCTGTGGAGTAGGTATTGGTTGTGGTTCTGTGGGGATATTTCCTTCATGGTAGATAAAGAGGTTTGGTTGTTCGTGGAGGTGAAGTGGGTCGTATTATGGGAAATTATAGAATATTGGTCGTAGTTCTAAGCGGATATTTTCCACTATGGCAGACGCTTGAAATGGCGCTCGTGGCGTGAATTGGGAGTGTTGTGGGAAGGTGGAGTAGGTATTGGTTGTGGATACTTCCTTC